CTACAGAAGTAGATTGCCCCATCTTCCTTCTGAGGAGTGGCTGGTGGGTTTGAACCACCAGCCTTCTGGTTAGCAGTCAATGCCTCAGGCACTAAGTGTCTACTAATAAGTTCTGTGCTGGGTCTTTTCATCTACTGTTGACAGTTGCTGCTGAGTTGGCTCCAAGTCCTGGCAACCTGATGCACAACACAACAAAACGCTGCCTGGTCCTGTGCCACCTTCGTGTTGTTAGCATATCTAAGTCCAGGGTTCAGCCATTGTGTGGTGCCTTCAAACCTGGGGGGCGGGGACGGATGCACCTTCAGCACAATATCGGATCATCTAGTTTGATCCATAGGGTTTTCACTGACTCATTTTCTGAAGTAACTTCTCAGGCCTTTCTTCTCAGTCTGTCTTAGTCTGGAAGCTCCACTGAAACTTAGCTAGCACAGGTGACCCTGCTGGATTTGAAATAGCAATGGTCTAGCCTCCAGCATCACATTTCACACAAGCCACCATAGCACAACAGACTAACAGATGGTGGTGGTCATCTACAGTAGTTCTTCTTAATCACAGCAGCAGATCAGATTCACCTAAAAATACACATATGCTCATAATACAGTTCTTAAAGTTTATGCTCTGCCTCCCAGTACAGTGAGCAGTGTCTGGGGTCTTAAAAGCTGATGAGCAGCCATCTAAGATCCAACTCTTGGTCTTTATTAGTCTATACAAGAGAAAGAAGGAAACTCAAGAATTGGAGATGGAACTGGACTGCAGGACTGTCTACATGAACTGCTATCTCCTTCACCTTGAGACCAGAAGAACTAGATGGTGCCCGGCTACCAGTGCTGAACATTCCAATACAAACACAATAGATGAATTCTGATAAAAAGAGAAAAATGTAGAACACAACTTCAGATTTTTAAAGAATCCAAATTTACTGGACCTACTGAGGCTGGAGGCACCCCCAACACTATGGTCCAAGTTACTCTTCAAACCTTGAATTGAAACTATCCCCTGAAGCCTTTAAACTAAGTAAAGGTTTAGCCAAAATAGTGAAGATTGTCACCTTGAGTATTTCATTTTTTAGAAATTATCTATATAAGATCAAAGAGTTAATAGCGATTTTAAAACATAGATGAGAAGGCTGGGGGTCAGGGGGAAATGAAGAGATTAATGGAAATAGAACTAGAACAGAAATGATGAGAACGTTGACACAATGTGAAGAATGTAACCAATGTCACTGATCATTATGTCTACAACTGTGGGACAGGAGCAGGTTTTACTGTGTGTATTTTCACCAAAAATAAAATGAAATTGAAAAACACAAAAATGCTGAAGCCTTTCCTCTGAGCACAGGATTTCTCAACACCGACTCCAAGTTGGAATCATCTGGAGAGCGTCTGAAAAGCCAGATGCCAATGCCTCACCCTAGACCAGCTAATGCAGAATCTTCAAGGATGTGACCCAGGCATCCCCAGTGATTCCATTGTATAGCCAAGGGGGAGAGCCACGATCCCAGAAAATCCAAATATGTGTTTTTAAAAAGCTCTTCAGGTAGCTGTGATACATACCCCCAGGGAAGACCATTCATTCACTCACTTATTCATTCATTTGATGTTTGATGAGCACCTATTATGTGCCAAGCCCTATGCTGGGCATTGTAGGCATACCCAAGACTAAAGAAACAACATCTCTGTCTTCACAAAGTCCACATTGTCATGGAGGGAGCCAGTAATAAATAACCTATACATAAAAAGAAAAGAATCACAAGTTGTAATTAATGTCACACTCACTGCCATCGAGTCAGATCTGACTCACAGTGACCCCTTCTTGGGTTTCTGAAGCAGTATCACTACAGAAGTAGATTGTCCAACCTTCCTTCTGAAGAGTGGCTGGTGGGTTTGAACCTCCAGCCTTCTGGTTAGCAGTCACATGCCTTAGGCACTATGCCACCAGAGCTCCCTAATTAATGCCACAAGGGGCACACATTAGGAAGTGACCAAGAAGAACAAGAGGCATCTTACTGGGGAGATCAGGGAAGGCCTCCCTGAGAAAAGGACATTTAAGCCAATACCTGAAGGATGAGGAACCAAAGAAGAGCATTCCAGGAAGAAGGAACAGCTGGCGCAAAGACCCAGTGACAGGTAAGAGCCCAGAATAAGAAAGCGGGCAGATGGAGTGGAGTGTCCAAGGTGAGAAAGGGATGGGGTGTGGCATGGGGCAAGGCTGAGAGAGCAGAGCCAGATGAGACCAGGCAGAGCCTCGGTGATCTGGGACAGAGTGTAGATTAAACTCCTGACTATGTATTCTCTCCCGTGCCCACAAGCACCATCTGTAGCAACAAGCATCAGCAGACAGGTCACATGTAGCAAGAACCACGGATGATGAGCACCACCTATACTGAGAATCAGCGATCAATCACGAGACCATCCAGTTGAGAACCACTGTTAGTAAGAACAACTGTTTCAAGATCCATCAATGGTGGAACCACCTATGTCAATACTATGGTATTCTCTCCCATTCCCGGCAAGGAGGAAATTGTGTTTTCCATTGCCATTTGGAAAACTGAGGCTCAAAAGAGGAAGTGACGTCTGAAAGAAACATAACTCAGAAAGGGCTCAGCTAGGACACACACCCAAGTCTCCTGCCACAGTGGCTGGGAAAGCAGAGGCCACAGGCCCCTCAGAAAGTGTCCAGGAAGGCAGTTCTTGGCCCTCCTGGCTATAAGCCTCTCTTCTGACCAACCCCTTCCCTCCAGCCCAGGCCACTGATGTAACTGGGGGTGGGGTCAGCATTGTTCTCCCCCCACTCTGGCCCCGCATCACAGGCCCCATCACCATGGGAACTGAGCCAGCCAATCAGAACTCCCGGTTATAAAAGGAGCCCCTGTTGAGCCATCTCTTCCCAGGCAAGTCACCACCCAACCTTCAGAGGCCTCCAGAGGCCCCTTCCTCCTGGATCAACAAACCCAGCTGCCCTCCATTTTCCTCCAGGAAGGGAAGGGGGAGCCTTCCGCCTGGGATGCGCAGGAACAAGCTCCAAGCCTGCATTCACCCTGCCTAGAGCTCCAGTCGCCCCTGTGGCTATGCCACGACACAGAGATACCTCAGGAGCTCCTAAAGAGTTCCTACAGTGACCTAGGAGACATCTGGAGCAGTGAGAGTGATGTGGCAAGCATGAGACACCTCTGCCCTGAGAAATGCAGTAACATCAGCCTGGTGAGCAGCGGGTACGTGGGGGACAAGGAGAACAGTGAGGTCAGCTTGGTGGGCAGTGGTCGAGTCACAAAGTTGAGCAGAGGTCTGAAGAACCAGGTGGGCAGCCCCCCGACCAGCCATCTGTGTGCCACCCACCCTCCTACCCAGTTAGAGAGCCGGAAGACCAGTCAAGCCGACAGCACCAAGCAGACTGGAGGGGAAAAGTGAGACCAGCCTGCTGGGCAGCAGCACCAGCAGCAACTCCAGCAGCCTGACCAACATCAGCTTCATCAGCCAAGGCAGCAGTGCCCTCACCTACCAGGTGAGCAGTGGCCTGGTCAGTTCCATGGGCAGCCTGCCCTCCAGCCAGGCCAGCAGCTACCATACCATCAGGGTGGACAGCAACGTGCAAGGTGGGCTGAACAGCAGCAGTACCAGTCTGCAGGAGGACAAGACCCAGGACGACGTGAAAAACAGCAGCCAGATCGCTGAGGGCAAGAAGCTGCCCACTTGTGCATGCCTTTATGAGGAGAGTGCTCAGTCACTAAATTCTCTCCAAAGAACACAGACTTGAGGACCCAGCAAACCCAGACATCACTCAGAGTTGTCACAGACAAAACAAGTAGAAATAGCCCTTTAGAAGCACACACCAACTGCATCAAGTGTGCACAATGGGTAGTACCATCTGTGGCAACAATCATCAGCAGACAGGTCACATGTAGCAAGAACCACGGATGAGGAGCACCACCTATACTGAGAATCAGCGATAATCCTAAGACCATCTCAGTCGAGAGTCACTGTTAGTAAGAACAACTGTTGAAGATCCATCAATGATGGAACCACCTATGTCAAAACCACCAGCGCTAATAACATCAGTATTGTGAACTTCAGCGATGAGCCGATCCATAGCAAGACCCATCAGTGGTGAAGCCACCTGTACTGAGAACCACCATAGTGGGATCACATGTACACAAAATAACCAGTCGTGACACTATTATTACCAGTGGCACTGTGCCAACTATATTAAGAACCACTGATAATGAGACCCTATGACGTTAGACCCACTCATGATGAAACTATCCCAAGTGATGAACGCCACCCTGCCAAGCTCAAGAGAAACAAGTATAGCCATGGTTGGGATTAGCCATGATGTGCACACCATCCACGGGGACCATGTCCACAAGGAACTCAGTTCCTGCTAAGCTTTGTAACACTCACGTCCATGGAAGGCACTGTGCACAGGAGCACCATGCAGAGCCAAGGTCCACAGGGAGCATCTCCAATGAGGAGCACCATCATTCCCCATCACTCAGGAGCACAGCCCACAGAGACTCTATGAGGGAAGTACTACCAGTACTACCAGCCCCCGGGGAGCACCACATAGAGAGAATGCTTGTGAGTACTGTGTCCAGGGAGCACTTACACTATTAGGAGCACTGTCCCCAGGCAGCCTCAACCCAGAGTCTTCCCAAGGTGAATGCTCACTGATGCCAATTCTTGTCTCTATGTGGCTCTCAGAGGAGAAAAGAAAGGAGACCAAAAATTATCCTTTGTTGAAATGGTTGGAACAGTGCTTCCTATGGCAGGAGCAATGTCATGCATGACAAATGCTTAATGGGGACAGAGACCAACCAGCTGAGAATGGCTGAGATGGGGGTGCTCTGGGCCATTCAGTGAGTGTCTATTCGGTGGATGGGAAAGCTGGGGTCTCTGACCCTCTCCCTCTCAGGACAACAAAGCCCCTCACTGGGCTGACCACACAGACCTGGAAGAGAGGGTCCTCCAAGGGGTAGAAGCCAAAGACAGTCAGAAAGGCATCCAGTAGGTGCCGAAGGAAAGCCAAGGAGGGCAACAAAGACAATAAAAGGTGCTGGCAGAGGCTGTATGTGTGTGTGTCTGTGTGTGTGCACCTGGCTGAGGTTATAGTGGGAGTGGGTCACAAACACATTAAGGAGAACCCTGAAAGCAGGGAATGGGGCTTAGCTGCCACCTCTGCTATGTCTGAGCTGGTGAGCTGGGGCAGCATACTTAATCTTCTGAGTCTCAGTTTCCTCATCTGGAAAACAGGGATGATCACTGCTATTTCATACACAGGAGGGTCACGTAGGTTACATGAGAATGTATATGAAGTACCTGGCAGGCAATGAGCGGTAAAGAAATGTTTGTTTCCTTCCCTCTCCTCACTCATCTGTAAAATGGGTACAGTGGTTTCTGTCTTGAGTTCTCACAGGCATAGGAAGATACAAAAAAAAAAAAAAAAAAAAAAAAACCTCACTGCCATTGAGTCAGATCCAACTCACAGGGACTCCTCCTTGGGTTTCCAAAGCAGTATCACTACAGAAGTAGATTGCCCAACCTTCCTTCTGAGGAGTGGCTGGTGGGTGTGAACCATCAGCCTTCTGGTTGCAGTCAAATGCCTTAGGCACTACGCTACCAGAGCTCCCACAGGAAGATAGGTACCACTAATATGTAGAAAAGTGTTCGTGGCCCAAAATAACCTGAAGATGGAACCGTGACATCTACTAGGAGGACAGACCTATTTCCCCAAACAAGGTCATGCTGGGATTGGAAAGCACTGTCCTCCTTTAGTTTCCTGGGGCCAAATCAAAACCAAGCCACTGCCATCGAGTCGATTCTGATGCACAGCAACCCTATACAAAATACCACAAAGGTGGGAGGCTTTAAAGGATAGTACTTGATTGTCTCGTAGTTTTCTGGAACTAGAAGTCTGAATTTGGGGCATCAGTCGGACCATGCTCTCTCTGTCCACTCTAGGGAGAGTCTTCCTGGTCTCTTTCAGCTTCCAGCAGCCCTAGGCATTTCTTGGCATTCCTTGGCTGCTTGTAGAGGTACCGTCACATGGCATCATCCCCTGTGTGCCCTGTTTCCATGTCTGCCTTTCTCTGGGACTATGGCCCCTAGTCAGCCTTCAGGCCTGGAATTGAACTCACTCCTCTGGCTTCTGGTCAAACAATAAATAGGTATATAAGGTGAACATCTACACCAGAGAGGTACACTCCTTAGAACAATCAACCAAGGGAGATCAAAAGGGCAATGTGTGCACAGGGAGATAGCTCAGAAGCAGGAACACATAAGAAGAAGGACACAAGGAAAAAGTAACCACAGGAAGGAAGTGGGAAGACAGCTGTTACATAATGAGGATTGCCATCAACGTCATGAAACAAAATGTGTATGAACTGTTGTATGCAAAATGAATTTGCTCTGTAAACTTCCACCCAGATAATAATTTCAAAAAATAAATAGATAAACTACTCTGAATGGATTAGGATCAGTACCCACTCTGCTCTGGTACAACCTCACTTAATTTAACTGATAACATCTGCAAAGAAAAACCCTGTTTCCCCAAACAAGGGCACAGTCACAGGCACATGGGTTAGGACTACAATGTATCTTTCTGGGGGACAGAATTCAGTGCATACACTGCCTTTATTCTCTTCTTTTTATAATGCACTTTCAGTCGTGGGGTTAAGAACTGCCAAGTCTGCCAATGCCTGCAAGGTGATATAAGGGAATGGGTGGGCATTGGCAAACTGGGGAGTCTGTAACCATTTAAAGAGAAGCTAAAAATCCAGAAGTCTGTGGAAAATCTCCTGATTTTCAAATGTTTGTCACAAATTCAAATTATTTAATAAAAATAACAAAAGAGAAAAGGACCGCAGGGCCAATGAAACACTCCTCAGGGCAGGACTGGGCCCACACCTCCAAGGACCCCTGTGTCTTCACAGAGAACAGAGAGAAAACGCTTCAAACAATGCCCAGCACGTGGTAAGCGTTTTATAAATTTGAAACACGCCAAGTGCCGCTGCAAGGGTGAGGTTTGTGAAACAAATCTGTGTATATTCCTCTCCTGCTTAAAGCTTTCATTATTTTCCCATTTTCCAGGAGCTTTCACGTGGCATTCAAGGCTATCCACAAACTGACCCAGGCGTATTTTCCCCACCCCACCTCCCGCCACTTCCTCCTCAACCTTCCCACGCCATCCACGCCAGACAACTCCACATTTCTCCAATCTGAGTTGCTCTTTCAAGCAGGTCCGCTTTTGCGCGTACTGTTCCCGATACCCTTCCCTTCTCTGCCTGGTGAATCTCTTCCACACTTTAAGGGCCAGCTCAAGTGTTGCCCCTTGAGAAGTCCCCCCCAGGCAGCGCTCCTGCAGCTTCGCAGACCTCGACTGAGCACAGAGCTCCGATTCAAAATGGCGTGTCGACCACGAGGTGTGGCTTCTCTCCTTCCCAAGACCTGTTAGATGATAACAAAGAACATCAAGGAAAGGTATAAACACATGATAACGAGAGAAACAGTGAGGGCTGGTGGGACATCCAGGCAGTCAGAAGGCAGAAATCAGACAGAGAAGTGGTCAAGAATGAAACACAGAGAGGACGCACAGTGGGGCGACAGCCTCAGGAAGAATCCCCAGTGGGCGGAGCCAGGAGGCTGGGCTAGAGGACAGGGTGAACGCAAGGACACGAGCCAGGGACCATCAGGAGTCTGTGCACTGGGCTGTCCTTCCAAACCTCACCCTTGCAGCGGCACTTGGCGTGTCTCAAATTTAGAAAACACTTACCACGTGCTGGGCATTGTTTGAAGCATTTTACAAATATCAACTCTGCCATCTTCCCTTTCATTCATTTTTTTAATTCTAATTAGTTTTTTAAATTGAGATATAATTTACATACAGTAAAATTCACCATTTTTAGTGTATATAGTTCTATGATTTTTGGCAAACACACACAGTCATGTATACACCATGACACACACAATCGTTCCATCACCCACTTCCCAGGAAATCCCTAACCCCTTTTGTCATCAACATCTCCTCCAATCCCCAGCCCTCAGAAACCACTGACCAACCAGCTTCCTGTCCCTAGAGCTGTGCCTTTTCCAGGATGTCACATAACTGGCTCCCTTCACTTAGCATAGTGCTCGCTGTTGTGCGTATCAGTTCATTTCTGTTCATTGCTGAGTAGTGTTCCATCGTGTGGGAGTACCACAGCTCGTAAGGTCTCTGCTGAAGGACACTTGGGTTGTTCCCAGACCAATAATCACGTGCAGGTTTTGTGTGAACTTATGTTTTGATTTCACTTGGGTAAGGAAATGGGTTGCTGGTTGGTATCACAAATGTATTTAACTTTTTAAAGTACTGCCAACTTGTTTTCTAAAGTGGTTGTAATGTTGTCAGTATTTTTATTGTCAGAATTTTGGTTTAA